TGTTTATAAATATTACAAATGTTGATTTACTATCGTATAAATATGAAGAGTAAAAGTAATTACCTATATTAAAACATTATAGTTTGAAAAAAAGTAATCAAATGTTGAGCATTCGCTTATAATATTATATATATATATATATATATAAAGTGTATTTAGATGATTAGGATGGATGAACAAATTCCGATGAAACAGTTACAAGCAGTGAATAATAGTTGGTACAATTTTTCACTAACATTTTTAATTTATGTGGAATATGGAACTTTACATGAATAAAGTGACGTAAAAAAATCAATTCACATTCAAAAATAGTTTATTGCCTCAACTAAAATAACTAAGGTGTTCAATCATTCGTAAAATAAGACAAATTTATATTTATACGGACTGAATAAAAAAATGATAAAATTCCCCAAAAAGATTAAAAGGGTTTTTTTTTTAAGTGTACTTCAATACAACGTTCATTGTAGATTGAAAAATGTTAATTTTCAGAATATACATATTGTAGTTAATAGGTACAATTTTAAATATTCTATTAAAATAAAGTAAATTTTAATACAATAATARAATAACTCAAACAAAAAAARTGAAGTATAATCGTTTTAAAAATTGATTCTACAATTTTGTTATTTCAAATACAAAAATATATCATTTATAAGTACAATTTTAGGRTAGCTTATAAAAATAAAATAAAAGCTATTTGCATTAAAAGAAAAAGGACTTGATTTTAATTATGATAAGTTTTAAACCAGAATTAAATATTCAGTGTTTTTATTTATAAATAATATTTTTAAAACATAATAACTTTTAAACGAAAACTTAATATTTATCTTTATATTCTATACCTATTATAAACAAAACATAAATCAAAAAAGTTTACGATACCTAATTAATGTAAGGCAAAACTATTGTAGTAGGTATCTGTTATCATTGTTGTTAATCGAATTTTATAAAACGTATAGGTAATAGTGTAATACTCTCATACATTATATTTGTTAAATTATATATTAATCGCTTAAATAATATAACTTATAACTTATAAGTAGGTATAAATAAATAAATATAATGATTAYGAGATTTGTGTACGTATGTAAATTACAAATAATTTTGTTTTATTATATTTCCAGGAAATAGCAGCAATTTTAATCAATTTTGAAAGACATAGCGAATGGCAGTCAAAAGAAGTAAAAATWAGGTAAGATTTCTACATAGTTATTATTTATGACTTACCTATACAAAAAGCATAGTAATAAAACTACTAAGTGTGCATTATAACACATTGTCTCATTATATAAGAAATTATTAAATATTAATTATTATAGTAATACTAGTATATCGTAATGTATATTTGAATTTAATTTGTCTTAATTTTATTAACTCAGACATACCAATGAAATTCACATAATATGTCTGCTGTAGTAAAAAAGTTTGTGTCACAAAAATAAATTATAGAAACAAAATAAATGAAATAGGCAAAAATTATTTTGCCTATATTGTCCTACATTATGAACTTCTACCAACGTTCTATGTATTATTGTATTATTCGTATCAAAATAACAAAATCGTTTAAGTAGGCATTCTAACATATCACGTAAAACCCCCATTTGCAGACTATTATACAATTTAAAGACGTAAGTACTTATTTCAGATCGATAGTGTACTAAGGCTTCCATCTTTTTTTTTTTTTATTATCACAATATAATAAAACAAAATTGCTACCGACATTTATACATGAATGCATTTCAAACGTTTACATATTATGTAATTTTAGATCTGAAGTTAACGGTCCGTTTGATCTTTAATCAAATAATACCTAATAATTACTTAAGTCAAATTGAATATATTTTAACCATATTATTTTGATAAATTGTGTA